GCGTTAAATGATCTGCAATAATTGGCCTAAATTACCCTGTAAGTTTCACCCTAACCCTAATCCTAACTCAGGCCGGGAGTCATCTGACGCAAGGTGCATTAGAGGCACAACATATTCATATAGAATATTAGGGATCTTTCAACGTATATCGGGAAATGCAGTGTTGATATGCTCGGATGGATCATCCAAAGCAGGAGACCCCAAATTCTGAAGATTGGCACTAAACGTCATCCATCACACTTATCTAGGGTAATCCATATAAGGGTACCGAATATAGATTTGCATTTTAAATAACTAATTTTTTTATCTTAGACAGGTTAATCTGCAAAAAAAGACCATTTATAAATCAATAAAAAAATGGACGGAAATATTAACGGATTGTCGGGTGAGTCCGTATTTATACATATTGTTATTTTTTATAGTTCTTAAAGACAAATCATATTTATTCTGCAAAGGCAGGTAAAAACTCTATATTACAAGATCAAACCGCTTATATCAGGGTTGACTTGAAACACATCCAAATTCTTCCTTCAAATGAATTTATCAACTCAACAAGAGAGAACAAGCTTGTATTTTTGTTTCGTTATACATCTCATTTGATTTCAATCAGCTTGAATAACATGGAATACGAGATTACTATTCCATTGAATCAAATTGTTGAAATGAAGATCACAAAGGAACAAGAAATTGCTATAGAGCTCAAACAAAATTTCAAAAAATCGGTACAGTTGCTAAAAGTAAACTTACACGTGTAATCGTGTAACGGGCATACGATTGACTACACATGATTCATGTTTCTCCACATTTAATCCATGCACTTTGGCGATCCTTCAATCAGTACTATCATTACTCTAAAGGGAATGGAAATCTTCCAATAATAACAATATCTTCGGACCCGACCAACGGAAAACTAAATGATGCAGCTTACATTCTTTTTAAACCAATGCATTGGGTGGAGAACAATACCCTTTTGATGGTTGAAGCAGGAATTCAAAGATTACGGTTTAATTTGGTTAGAGGAAATGATGATGGATTTCCGGGAAGTAGTAGTTTGAGGGTTCGTTTGTTCCAAAAAGTAACTATTCCAAAGGAAAGATGATGTAATTAGTAACATTCTAGGCGTAATTCCTTATTTGTCAAACCACAGGTAAAGCAAGATGTACTTGTCAATTCAAGTGGAAGTTTGGCGGAATCGCAAGCACAGCCACAAGTTTCGCAGCCACAAGTTATGGATATGGATCTACTTTCTTTCGCCGAAGATGAGCCAGGAGTACTTTATACGGAAGTAAATAACGACACCATGGTTCATGATAATGAGGTCACTGAGGTATAAATTTTATTGTAACCTGTACTAAACATGTTTGAAAATCATTATTGTTTGACATCCAACAATATTTTGCAGCTTTATATCACATGCGTATTTTTAACTGAAAGGCGTGCGATACTTTTTTCTCAAGAAGGATCTTTTAATCAGTTCGTCGAATATGTTCGACAACGTTTTGGGTCATCATTTAATAATGTTTCTTATAAAAACAAAGTGGACGAAATGATTTCTCTTAAAGATGAAGAAGATTGGGATGTCGCGAAATGGGAAGCAGAGATGGAAGGCACAATAAGACTAAATGTCTATATGGGGTGAAAATGGCGTCATCGTGCAGTTAGAGTAACTAAAGTTGATACAGGAAATTTTTTTTTTTTTTTTTTTTGGTCTGTTACTTTTTTGTGACAATAGAAAATTTCTCCACATTTCTTGTTTATTTTGAATAATTATAATTAAATTGGACTTTGAATGAATAGTCATGTGGAACCCACGCGAAAAAGTTTTTATACTGATTAATAGGAATAGGTAATACTGGTTTACGATATTTTGCGCTCGTTTTTCCATACATTTTCATATGATTGGGAAATTACTTAAAAAAATTTCTACTGTACGGTTTTACTTAATCTACGCGGCACCATATAAATGAGTGTTGTGGTGTAACTGGACGTACAAAGCACAATAGAACAATAGAAAATATTCTCTCTCTTATATATTATGCAGAAATACGTTATTCAAGTATGCTTCGATCCGTTTTAGGTATATAGTTAATACGAATATATATTTTGGTATAAATCGAACTATTATACAATAAACTGTCAAGGCAAAAGTTCTTAACTTTTTTTTTTTTTTTTTTATCTAATTACCATAAGCAGTAACTATACAATGTGAAATGTGGGGTCAAGTTTATTTAAATTGTCTTTGACACTAATGCAATTTTATATGTTGCATGCAGAACTATAAAGTAATTCGAATAAACAATATAGCTTTTTGGCGTTATCATCATATGTTGCCATATTGTTTGTGTAAAAAAAAAAATAAAAAATAAAAAAAATAATAATAATGATAAAAATAATAATGATTATATAATTAATAATAATGATTATATAATTAATAATAATGATAATAATAAATAATAATAATAATAATACTAATAATAATAATGATAATAATGTAAAAAATAAAAAATAAAAAAATAGAATAACATATTTAGTATATTTTATATATAGAATTATATATAATATATAAAAAAATAATAGTGGCATCGTGTAAAAAAGGGGTGGGGTACATACCTAGAAAGATCGTCTCTGGGGGGTGTGAAATCTATGTTTGAATTCTCGATCATTTAATATAATGACCTAAAAAAAACAAATTAATATGTAATGTTTATATATCACCTGAAATGTGATAACATGCATAACTTTTTAGTGATATACCATTTTCAGGCATGACATTGAAAGCCCTTTTTCTAGCATAGATTGCAGATTGGCAGCATTTATTAATAATAAAGGAAATTCGTTTGAAGATATATGAAGATGATACGTCATCTCCATCAGAATTATGCGTACATTTAGAAGCGTGTTGGGGTACCTTGCAGTAGAAACATATTCGATAATTGGCCTATGCGAGCCGTCAACGTTAATTGGTATAGTCTTCAACATAGCGGGGTACTTCATTTATCGTGGTAGCCTTAAAGTTCCCGCTTTAATATATATCGTTAAGTGCAGCGCGCAGAATCCATAATCGGGTAGACTCGGACGAATGGCTATTAAATAATACTTTCCACCAGCAAAACTGCCGGCAGGTGATCTGGAATAGTGATACAGTAACAAGCAATCGGTAACAAGTAACAAGTAAATAATTTGGTAACGGGCATAAAGTCAGAATCATCGATTTGCCTTTTTTTGTTTTACATCAACCTTATTCTCATGTGCTCAATCCGGATAACTCGATGCTTCTGGCATACAGTCATTCCGAATTTGGTTAGATCCTCAAATTATATAATATGGTAAAACACGTACTTCGTTTCCCGCGTCTCAAAGATGAAAGACGAATACGGAAAATTTCTATGAAGAAAAAAAACCAGAAAACATCACCTAAAATGTCACAGACCTCTTTTACATCACCGTCCCGCATAAAAAAAGAAAAAGCGGAAAATGGAAAACCGGATTATAAAATGGATGACCTGATATGGTTCTTTTCGACCTCAAATGCTCAACGTGGTTTTCAGGGTTCAAAAATGTAGGGGACTGAATTCGGCAAGTTTCATCATTGCTGCACAATGCCGAGTTAAACTATTCGCAGGATTAAGGGACAAAGGCTCGCGGTAATTGAGTTGTTGAGTTACCTTATATGTCTTGGATTATCTTTAAACTTAAAAGAAAATTATAAGATGTAACAAGAGACTGAGCCCTAACACATAAAAGTTTGGTTGTGGAATAAAATATTAAGGTTCATTGTAAAATCATTCTCAATTTGTATAATTTTTTTTTCTTGGTACGACGGATTATAATAGCTTTTTTCCTTTACAGAAAAGAACGCTTTATAAGTAAGAATTGCGTCCTTAAATGTTAACACAGGCGTTCTACAGATGTTTGGTTCTTAGAATGGAATACAAAAATTAGTATTGTGCCAAGTTATCAAGATACACAACACTGATACGTAAGCTCTTTAAAAAATATATATATGTATAATTGCGTCTACACTTTCTGGAAAAAAAATTTTTTTAGGGGCGTTATTGATGTCACCGACTTACAAAAAGAAATTTTCAAAGCCGCGACAAATATATCGATTCTTTTTCCAATTCCTTTTTTTTCAATTCTTCTTATTCATCCATTCATTCATTATCTTTTTTTTTTTTTTTTTTTTTGGGACTTTAAATGATAACGCGCATTTCTTTTTTTGTGATATCATGTGTCTCAATTCTGTAGGAAAAAAAAAAAAAACTATAATTTATTAATAATATATTTTAAAAGAAAAATCGAATGCAATTCAACTATATCAATGCAATCATCGTGTTTGACAGTTTTTATGATTTCATTATTGTAAAAAAATACTTTGCACTTGAATTTTGTCCTCCCACTTTGTGCTACTACAGAGGCCGCCACATTTCCCTCCAAAAGTATATCATTTCCACTAAAATTCAATTATGCCACATTAGGTGATAAGACTTTGTACTCGTTGATCGTTACTATTTAGGAGGTTATACGCGCTTCCTCCTATGTGACAAGGTGGAATCAATGGTTAAATTCGTTGAGAACCCGGTAATGTTTCGAGCAACAGGTGAGTAACCGGTTTTATGGGGTCATGAATGATCACGGATGGGGTATATCCCTTTATTTAAAATATTTTTATCTTCCTTCTATTATGTTTCTGTTTTATTTTAAATTTCCCTCTGAAACACCGATCACGTGGCTACAATCTTTTGTTCTGGTTAGTGTGAAAAGGACATTAAAACTCAAAACAATGTTGCCCTACTTTCAATTTCGCCATCGCTTTGTGTTATTTCATCCTTCCAAATAAATCGTTAAAACATACAATTCCCGCGGCAAGTGCGAGTAGTCAATTTTTGGAAGGCGGACCATATAAGTACCGTTATCTTCCATCGCGAAAGCACGAACCGTCCTTAATTACCTGGCGGCTTTGAATATGCACAAAGGCGGTGGCTTTTTGGACAACCATCTTCATTAGACTCTCTCTCTTCGGAAGATCACCTCACCTCTCTAACTTAGAATTTTTAAAATAAAGAACATTCATTATAGACGCCAATGCCGAATGCTAGCAACCTTGGTGATGATATGCAAGTTGACATGCCTCAAACAAAAAGAGCTCGAATAACGTCGCAAGGCAATGGTGTTGTCGAAAGTACTGAAACTGATTGGCTTAACGTAGTTCTCAATAAGCAAGAGGTGGATCCTAGTTGTGATGCCTGGGATTGCTACTTCCAAGACTCTCAGGTGCCAAAACATAAGGCTCCTAATTCTGGTATTACCTTCGCTACTCCTTTCGTCTTCAAGCCTGTAAATCCGGCCCAGGGTTTTCCAACTAGTGATTCACCCAACTCTTCTCGAAGACAAGAATCTTTATTCTCTTCAAACTATCCGTCTTTCTCTGCAAATACTTTATCCGAAGACCAAGTCGGCAAGATAGTTGAGATTCTTGGTGTTGTGTTGGAAGGAATAAGGATGGATATATGGAGAACTGTCCTAAATTCAAATAAAGGTAATATACCCTTTCGTTTTATGCTTCCGTTTTATCAAAAACAAGAACAAAAAAAAACACATCTACATAATCTACAAAAAATTTACGAATGATAAAATATTAAGCTTAAAATAAATGAAATAAATGCTAATTTTTTTTTTTGTTGTTGTCATATTGGATTATTTTGATTTATTCTGTGTTATAATACGCGTGTTTATAAATAAATAATATATTTCTTTTTATGTTTTTCAAAAATTTTCCCGACTAGATCATTTAATACCCCCAAGCTTTATCCGCGAGTTTAATAAGCTTGTGAACGAGTCTTCTTGCACACAATCCACAAACAATAAACCCCCTCTCATAAAATCCGTAGAACATTTACGTTCCATCTTTTCCCCTTCAAACACTTCTATCACATTATCTTCCGATACAGAATTATACAGCCACATATTTAATTTTTATTGCCAGATGGCTGCTTTTTTAACTGTGATCCATTTGTTTTTTGATATCATCGTTATGGATTTTTTATGTGAGCGCGAAGAAGGACAGCTTACAAGACGTTTATCAATAGAAAAGTTCATGAACATTTTTGATGATGCAGACAATTTTTTATTATATCACACCTCACCTGTTGAGATAGAACCAAATAATAGTGATCTAGAAGCTTTCTTTTGGTATTACCGTGGAGTTATACTACCTCAAACTCAATATCATTGTGAACTTTCGGACCGTTTTAGAAAATTATCAATTTATTTCTCTTCATTAGACATTACTGAATCTATATTATCAATGTTTTATACAAAGCATTTCTTAAACGTGTTCGCAAAAGAACATCAAAAGGATCACGGTCAATTTTACACTCCGAGGGAGGTTATGAGGTTCATGTGGGATCGTGTTTTACTAGGTAGAGGAACTGGTACATGGATTGAAAAACTTCTTAGAGGTTCTTTTCAATCAAATAATAATGTCATGAGCTATTCAATTAATCAATCCTCGATCGTGTCATCTTCTTGGTGCACTTATCCTCAAGCTCCAAGTGTTCTGGATCCTTGTATGGGAATAGGATCTTTTCTTTGCGAGTTTATACAACGTATAACTCTTGCTGCACAACAATGTCCTTCAGTGTGGCATGATTCAAAAGCTGTTTCCCATCTTATTCAATCTTTAACCGAAAATATTTGGGGTATAGAAATCGACGCGTTCGCGTTTCACCTTTGCAAACTTAACATAACGATACACATGTTACCACTTTACAAACGCTTCGTTCAACTTTCCTACTCTAATGAAATTAAATTACCTCGTTTACATCTTTTTTGTAATGATACTTTAAATTTATATCTTCCAAAACGAGAACTCACGTGGGAATATGATAACTTATGGTTACTGCGTTCTCCTCAACGTCTTAAATTTGATTATATAGTAACTAATCCTCCTTATATGATTCGAAAGACTGGATTCATATCAGAGCCTGACAGTGAACTATTTGATGAACGAGTGTTGGGTAAAGGTGGCATGCAAGCTTATGCTTACTTTTTCTGGTTTTGTGTCGAAAGATGCCGGGAAGAGGCTGGGGAAATCTGCCTTATTAGTGGTAAGTACGCGGAAATGAAAACTTTGATTTTGAAATCCTGTTTTGTAACTTGTTTTATACTTCGATGGTACAGGGCCTTAAGTTCAATATTTGTTTATGATCTAAATTTGATCATTTTTAAATGTCCGATATCGAGATTGTGCTACTTAATATTTAATTTTATTATAAATCATTCCTTTTATTAATTATAATTATTAACGAATCTTCTCACGTTTTTTTTGTTTTTTTCCGAATTTTTAACTATATGAACTTACAGCTAGTCAATGGATGGGCCTAGAATTTGCTGATAAATTGAGGTATATATTATTCTATTACTAATATTCAATTTTTTTATATCATTTTGATTTTTTTACAATTTTTATTTTATTTCTTATAACTTAATAATTTAAATAATTTAATAATTTTAATAATTTAGAGCATGGTTATGGCAGAAATGTCATCTTGTAGAATTCTTTCAATTTGAGCCATTCAAAGTTTGGCGAAAAATACAAACCGACTCCTTGATATTCCGTCTTCGTCGTCGTAGTGAATCTTTATCCACTAATAGCTTAATTCCAAGGCCTCCTATTACTTCAGAACCATCAACCATATTTTTACGATATATGAATCGTAAAGCAACATTACAGGAGACTCTTAAAGCTTATGCAAACTTTAATCCGAACAATACACCTTTCGATAAAGATATGCATTGTAAAATAACTCCACCTTATCCACACACAATTCTTCCTTCTCCTACAAGTTCTTACTCATTTACGTTCCTAATGCCTACCTCCGCTGTTAGCGCATATCTTCATTCGATAACAGCACATCTTCCTTCTCTTTGTGATCATTCAAGTATGAAACCAACATGGCTTGAATGTAACCCTTTGATTTGGCATAGAGGACCAAATACCAATCCAGTATATGCACTCGTTGTTCGAACGTCATGGGCATATTCTAAATTTGGTAAAGAAGTATGTAGACGATGGTTACGACCAGTTTTTTATTGGAATGGAAAAAATGGAGGAAAAGAAGCAGAATTTTGGCAAAAAATGGGTGATGAACTTCGACTTGAAAAAAAGGAAAGTTCTCCTGCAGAAGCTTATGTGCCTTTTCTTTCATATAATTCTTGTGGTTCTACCATATCAAAAGATGGACTAGAACAAGAAAAGTCCATGTATTCTTTGATAATGGTGGATCGTGATGCAGTAGATAAAGTTCGTAAAGATTTTGGTGAGACTAGTGAATTTTGGATTTACCTTAAAGAAGCTCGAAAATATTTACAAACTAGCATGACTTCACGAGAAGTCGCTTATTGTGGCACTAGTAAATGCGGGTAAGTTACAATACTTGTGTTGTGTTTGTGTTTGGGAAAATAAAGATTCTTTTTTTTTTTACGCGCTAGCTGTTATTGGATAGTTTAGATATTTTTAAGCATTTATAAAAATATACATTTGTAAAAACGGTTTAAACTTTACGAATTTTAATGTACATTTTCTTAATGATTTACATAGGATTGATATCCGTACGAAGATAATTCACCCTATAAACTACGGTTATTTCTCTAAAAATCAGGTTTGTTTCTTAAATTTTTTTTTTTTTTCTTAATATTGATTCCTTCATACGCATAATTACTGCCATAAATGATTTATGCGTGCTGTGTTAGATTCCAAATAAACATTGGTTCGCGTTTTAAATAGGCGTAAAATTGAGATTTACTTTTCTTACCTTTTCATGTGTATTTTTACATTTGCATATGATTTTTTGTAACACCTTTCCAAAATCGTAATGTTAGAATTCATTCATGCAAAGAAGTTAAAAAAAATGTTATAATTTCCAGATTATACCTTAATTATATATGATACCGAAATAAATTTCATAATTGCATAAAAACTTATAATACTTTAACGATTCTTTTACTTTACTACAGCCACGTCAGCGATTTTTTATCGATGAAGATAATGTGTGTGTAACCAACCAGGTACGTACATAAACAATTTATCGATAATATTCGTGGTTTAAATACCTTGGCACGTGATTCACGCCTCGATGACGCGTTTTTTTTTTTTTTTTTTTCTTTTCTCATTTCATCAAAAGTGTATCTATTTCACGATAAAGTCGACAACAGGACTTCCTCCCCATTTCTTTCTTGGTCTCCTTAATTCGACCACCATTCAACACTTTCTATCACATCATTGTAAATACGATCAACAAGGAAGAATGAGACTTTTCCGTGAAAATATGGCAAAAATACCATACGCAGCACCAACCAATCGTGATGGAATTGATTGGTTCATTAGATGCACACAAAAAATGATAATAGTTCGTCAAATGTTATACGAGGGGATTGGAACATGTGAAGATGAAGAAAAAGTTGGAGGAGCAGTGGTTGAAAAATTAAGAAGAGGAACATGGCAATTGACAGGTCGTGAATGGCAAGAAAAAGAAAGTGATGCATATAATAATGAAACGAGTGTTGTTTTAAGGGAAGAACAAGAAGGAAATTGGGTTATGGTTAAACAATGCCGTGGTAGAGAAGAAAGCCTTGATTATTCGTTATGTCCAGAATTTGAAGATGAACAAGAAGCCAGACAGTCAACCGAATGTTATAATAAATATTCTTCTTCAACTGGAATGTCCGTGGTGAATGAACTTCGAGCTACAAGAGGGAATATAACGAGAACCCACTTCCTAAAACCATTTTTTGAATCTCTCTTGCATGCTTCAGCTTGTCTTCAATACGGAATAGATCAATATGCTTACTCAATATATGGGATAGATGCAAAATTTCAAATTGCTTTAGAAGAGGAATTAAAAATCGAAAATTTCGATATAATAATTACCAAATTCCCCCGATGGAACGGTAACATAAGTAATAGTCACGGTGAAGCGGAAACAAGAGGAATTATGCCCGAGTGGGGTGAAAGGCTCTTACTAGAAGTCGACCAAGCGATTAAAGGAGGTGAGAATCTGTTACGTCAGAAAAGAGGGCCCATAATTAACCGAAATTGAAACGAAAAAGAAGACTTTCCGTAGGGGGAATTTGTAAAAAAAAAAAAAAAAAAAAATCAAAAAAAAAAAAAATTTAACGCGCACTCGAGACATAGATTTTTCTTATATATAGATTGCGAAAAACACGGATTCATTTTTCTGGCGTTGATGTGTGTACCTGATGTGTTCGTTGTTTGATTATTCGCTTCGTTTAAATTTTATTTGGTAATTTACGCGCACGTGCGTATAACAACAGATATATAGTTCGGGTCTTTTCGTCGTTTGTGCTTATGCAAAAATTATTTCGTACGTTTAGAAAAAAAAGTATTTGGATTTACTTATACAAATTAGTATAAATCAAAACAAAAAAAGAAAAAAAAAAGAGATTAAAAAAAAAAAAAATTCAAAGAAACATTCAATTGAAAATACGAGTTTTTTTTTTTATAGATTTAAGTGATAAAAAGATTTTAAGTAATATAATATGTAAACTAAAACAAGGAAATGTTAAAGTCATTATAGTCAATAGAGTTAAATCTTTTTCCTTTAGATTTATGATGCATGCAATGAAGTTTGTTTCTGGTAATCATTTTAACGACAAATCGTTCGCTTATTGTATGTATGCACTGTATGTATCGAAAATCAATACTCTAAAAAATTCAATTGATACCATTTTTTTAATAAGTTTTTTTTTTAACAGGTTGAGGCTATTTTTTTATGCATGATGCGAGAAAAAGTATAATAAACAATGGCATTAAGATTACGTGATACGGGTGTTTTATTCACTGTATTATTGCTGTATTACACTGTTTTTTTTTATATCTTGCAAAATATTTTTGTGTTTACATATAAACAGAATGCAAAACGCTCCATGAACAGAAATTGTGTATTACAATTACCATAATCATAATTCGCACATAGTAAAAAAATCGGGTGAATTACAATTAATATTAAAAATGTTTTGATCTACAATGTGCACACACCACTTTACACAGCACCTTATCATTTGTCGCCGAACTGTCAAAAAAAAAAAAAAAGAAAGGAATAACTACATTCAGTCTTAGCCTTATATGAAAAGAGTGAGTACGTACCTTGACCAACGCGTTTTCTAATAAGTAGAAACAGGATTTATTTCTTGCTAATATGAAAATGATGGCTTCTCTTTTTTTTTCTTTGTTCAATTCGAATGGTCGAATAGACATAATGAAGTTCGTTGTTTGAAGGGACTTTATCATTATAGGCTCTTTAAAAAATCATACATGCTTAAAAAGATCACGTCATAGTTCCCCATTACAATTGACGTATAACAGGCACATGAGAAGTTTTTTTTTTTTTTTTTATGTATTTATATGCGTTTATTAACACATTTCTATACAGCAGCAAAAAAAAATTGTATTGTTGTATGTAATCAGTCTTGCATATCCTACGAAAGGGTACCTTATATTAATATCGTGGCAATTTGTGAAGATATATATAGTTTAAACACATTTATAGTTTTTTTATAAATGATAAGTAATTGAATTCTTGACATATGCTCTTTAACTATATGCCATATGCTATATGTCATTATATGTGTTATATGTATTCTAGATGCTGTATGCTATATGCTACGTATGTATACGTATACTATATGCAATACGTATGCTATATGCTATATGCTATATATGCTGTTTGTAATACCTCCCAAAACTATCAAACAGGTTTCTCAAAAGAGCGCGTTCATAGCAGGCTGGTATGTGAGTATGAGTACGCCAAGCATTTTATGACGTATAGTTTTTTAATTTCGATAGGTAAATTTAATAGAACCCTGCTTACTGGCTGACCTTTATTAAGAAAAAAGAAAACTAAAATTGGAATGACAATAAACAGCAAATTTTTTGAAAGGTGATCAAACTACCAATTGGTTTAAAAGTCGCGACATTGTGAATGCGTGAAACTACTGCACTTTGTCATTTTATAATGAGTCTTCTTTTGTGTTCTTTTACTCTCCAGGAAATACGTTATCAATTTCTTTTCCATTCATTGAGGATTATTGGAGTAATTAATTGCTTGAGTAACTTGATAATACTTTGTATAAAAATATCAACATAACTGGCATACATTAAATGCTGGATCAGAAAGACAAACACTTCAGTAGTACTTCATGCATGAACTGCGCGCGAATTAAACAAATATGTAAATAACAAAGCTTTTAGAACAATGGCCTTTGAGAAAATTGTGTTCAATTGCGTTAAAGCACATGCTTCTTTTTTTCTCCTACTATTTGACATTATGTCAAAAATTTTTTTATTCTATTTTAACAGTATATTCATCATTTTAAGTTGTAAAAATAATGTACTACTAAATAGTGCCTTTGTCTCGAAGCTTTTTTTTTTTTTTTTTTTTTTGAACAATGGTTACATTTTTAATCAGAACAATGATACCTCAATGAACAATCAATTTAAGGAAAAAAAAAACTGGCAAGTTTTAGTTTCATTATAATCTTAAATAAAGTTGATTTTTATAACCTTTGTAAATTCTGAAAATTGTATTTAATTTTTTTTTTTTTAAAAAAAAAATGAAAATGGCGGAATATCTTGCTGCTGGTTCTTTTTTTTTTCAGAAATGACATACAAATTGATAATTACATAGTCATTATCTCCGTACATTATTTTTAAACTGATCGAATTTATCTTTCTATTTATAGCTATGGTTGAAGTAAATAATATTAGATAGCCGACAATGACTATAATAATATCGACTCAAAGTTATGCCTGCTCTTCATTGTTGACGCATCTCTTACCATGAAATATGAATAAATAAATACTATAGTAGATAACTACCGGTAGGTATTTACCACTAGTATCTACCGGTAGATACCGTTGGTCTCAGATTATACTCTCTGAGACCATATCTGAAACTCGGATCCATACCCAACACCCGAAATTCGAAACTACGTATACCCTGAGATAAAATATTATCTAAAGCTTTTAAAATATATATCTGAAATTTCAGATATATATTACTTTAATTATATATAAAAGCCAAAATATAAATCAATATTAGAGATTTGAATGTGATTTGTCATGTGGAGCTAGCTAGCCGGTGTACATTATTTAAGCAATACTAGTCAACTATCACAAGGCAAATTTTTTCATGCGGGCATTTTTACTTAACGTTAGTAAGCGGGCAATTATTTTATTAGTAAATTTTAAGTAATCTTGGGCAAAATTGGTTATTTCTGGCTCAACTATGATCCTGATGAATTTCGATCTGGGTCTTCTTTTATAAGTTCAAGAACCTCTAGTATGGGCTAATTATAATACTGTAATATCGATATGTCCATGGTTACTTGTCATGTGATGCACACTGACCAGCCCAATCATGGATTCGGACAGATGAGACTCTTTTTCCCGAAACTAGTTTTGGGTAGGAGTACTGAGCAGTGTACAAAATTTCTGGGTGCTTTTTTGTCAGCAATTTCTTTTCAATTTGAGATTCAGATACGACGACCAATAAAATTTGTCAAAGTAATATAAATTTTCCGACTGATGAAAAGTCGAGATGAAAATTCCACAATGATTTTTTTTTATAATGTCAAGCGTTATTAGTGGTAACTTACCATGATAATTTACCATAGTAAGTTACTACGTATTAATTTCTGCAAACATTAACGTTAAGACATAATGGCCAGATAATTACCGGTAAATTACCAAAAAAAAAATAAAAATAAAAATAAAAAATTATTGTATAATTTATAATCCTGTATTTTCTTGAGAATATGTAAACAACAATTTTAATATCTTTTGTATACGATATATAATGATTTGGACCGATTTTCTAGCAGATTAAAAAAATCAAAAAATTAAATGTATTTATTCACATTAATTTTTTATTACGCATTATTATTATTAATATTATTGCTATTCTATATTATTAAAGAATTTATAAGACTAGTCAATTCAAATAAAAAGCCATCGAACACACAAATAAACCAACAGATATTAAATTAGCAGCAACTACGTTGCGGAAAGCACTTGATGTTGTTGATGTTGGAGCGGATGGAGTAGTTGGAGAAGATGGTGCAGATGAATTAAGAGCCGATGGATTAGAAGGATAAGGCGTGGCAGTGGCTCCAATATAAGGGGCAGAAGTAGCCCAAGCAGTAGCAACCCAAGCAGTAGGAGTGCCAGTAGGAGCTTCGGTAGGTGCAGTACCAAGAGGTGTAGAACCAGTAGGTCCTGGGGCTACGGTGGCGCCAACATCAGGGCCAGCAGTGGTAGAAACACTACCCTGCATATAAGTATCTATTTTGGACAAATTTAGTACATGAATAATGAATGGTAAAACTTAAAGAAATGTGAAGCACACGCTTAAATGTAAGAGCTTACCTCCTTTGACAAGAGCAAAGCACAACAACAAATTCAGCAGGCATAATGCCAAAATCGAATTTCTCTTTGAAAAGCTCATCGCGTTTTATTGATTTGACACGAAAAATTCAGTAAAATGATTTTTGCTACTAATTTCGATTCAGGAAAACTTTTGCGGTAAAAGGTGTAGTTTGAACCGTAAAGTAGGCAATTGTGAAAGATAAAAAGTAGAAAGTACGGCTTTTTTATACACGAACATGACGAATAGTCGCGTGTAGATAAATGAATTGCATGTAACGATCACCATCGGAAACTGCAAATATTCACATTGGTCATTTAACCAAAGTTTTCAAGTACATTACATGATTTTCATATTGGGTATTAAAAGAACGTGCTCCTAGTCATTGAATATACAAAGGACAAGTTCTTAGTTACAAATTAGGATGCAATAAGAGGCCAATTAGGAATATCCTATTTTATATTAGTCGGGAGTTTCCATACAAAATTGACATAAATACATACTATAATAGGCATTTGTGACTTTTCGAACTTAATGTTATAATAATACGTAGTCTATCGTTATGTCGATATGTATACGATCATTTCAAGAATTTTCATTATCTGCCGATCTGACTTGGCAATAGATGTTATCCAATCCATGTGATAATTAGTCTTAAATTATTTCGACAATAACGAATAACGAATAATGTAAAAGATTTTAAATAATATTAATTACGCGATTCTAATTATCTCATTGCTTGGATATCATCCCAAACACATAAATAGGCCGATCCAGACAAATTAGTCTCGTATAATTTATTATTCTTTGTGTTATGGGCGCTGTGTCCGGATAATCTATTACCTATATTTAATTTTTACTAAAATATTTATTTTTAGTTAAAATAACTATGCAAAACCTTATCGTCGTTATGTATATTTTTAAATTTCTATAGGAATAAATTCGTCTGATTGGTTAATTATTATGGATTTATCTCTGATTACCCGTTAGGGGGTGAGATGTTATATAATCTACAAATATAGTCAAGATCAATAGTAAATTTCTTATACGTCCTCGGATTTTTTTTAGCATCAAAAATAGCATAAGTAATATCACGAAAACAATAAAACAAACTAAACTCGGTAAAATTTTTTTTATTTTGTATTTATAGATAAATAAATCAATTTTGGTTGGATTTGGATATGTGGTTGTCGTAATATCGCTAGTGTTATTTTAGCTGCTAGAAAAATCCGACGTACGTATCCAAATTTTTTTGCCGATCATTTGTTTACACAATACGTAGTAAACTCTTCTTTAATGTAATAGAGCTACGTATTTTAAATGCTTTACGTATTAATAAAACTTTGATTCTTGTTGCCTAATTAGGCCATTCCAAGTTGATATTTTTTATGTTTAACATTACACTAATAAATGATCAACAAGTCTAAACGGGGGTAAAAAAACATGAGATTTTGATTGGCTAAAAAATTTTTTGAACAGTGATGTGAGGGAAGGTTATGTAGGTATAGCTTTATTAGTTCAGCGCGCTTAAACCAGGAACGTAGTATGATTGCTAAACTTGTATTAAATATCTAAGTGTAGTGACGAACTTTCTAATAATTGTAAAAAATATTACCAATTGTCTTATTCAATTTATTTCAAAGTATTGTTCATCTTCTTAAATTAATTTAAATTTGATCCAATCATATAAAAGATTGTAAGGTTTACTTGTATAAAATACGAATTACTTATAAGAAATCGTTGAATAGTGATGAACATCTTGGATAGAGGTAAACGATTTGGGAATTTCTTATAGGAGATATTAGATATGTAATAGTATGTAGAAACTTTTTCAGTATGAGTGACTCCTTTAATAAAATATTAATTGATTATAAAGTTACGCAAGCTATCAGCCTATGTATAGATTTTGACCGGTATTACGTAGAAATAATGAAGCTGTTCCGAAATAACTTAAATAGAAAATGAATGGACGTAGATCTTAATCCCAAAATTCAAAGTATTTCGAGATCTTTTTAGCATCAAAATGAAACAGCATACATTATACCGTTTATCGTACAGTGCAGACCATTGTCCCTCCCTGTGCAAAGTACCTCTTATTAAAAAAATTTCATAATTAAATGTAAAATACCCGAGGGATATATCCTATATAAAAAAACTTTTAATATGAAAAATCGCTTAGTATAGTACCCCGGGTTTTGCCTGTAGATTGTATTATATCCGGGGTACTGTGCTCCGCGCTGTACAGTATTATTTGTATAAATGTAGGGATATAAATACCTAAATCGTTTAAATGAAGAATATACAGTAAATTAAGTGTAAAGAGAAAACTACTATAAATTTAGAAAATTTCGAAAAATATTAAGAATTCATAAATATCGAATGCAATGAACTTTGGAGTGGGTATAATTATATTTGAGTTGATAGATTTACATGTTTTTACAAGAGAACTTGCTTAAAAATTATTGAATCAAATTTTATACTATATATTTCGAAAACTGGTAAACCATTTTTTAGCTTTGATTAATAAAATTTATATTGGAACTGTTATGAAATCCATATTTTTAAAACTGTTACAATTGATACATATGTACGTATGTACATACTCAATTAACCTATCTGACATACAGAATCATAAATACATATGTTTTTTGTACAATTTTATACATTTCTATATGCACACATACATATGATATAAATTTCATTATGTACTACATGTCATATATGTCTAACTATCATCCAATCATAATCCAGAATTTGTTCACTTGCTATTTTAGTTATCTCGAAATTAAAAATTATCATCAACCATTAATATAATATTTATATAAAATTAGCAGTTCAGTGTTGGACTAATAGGAAAGAAAATTTGGCATATATCAGCCAATATCAACTACTACTAGCTGATACTGGTTGATATATGGGGGCACACATAGCAAAAGCAGGTGATAGATCTATATATTATATAGTTCTATCACCTGCTTTTGCTGTGGGAACGCCCATACATCAACCAGTATCAGCTAGTAGTAGTTAATATTAGCTGATATATGCCAAATTTTCTTTCCTATCAGTCCAACATTGAACTGCTAATTTTATATAAATATTATATTAATGGTTTATGATAAGTTTTAATTTCGATCTGTGTTAACCATATACATATTACAGTCAGACCCCCATATTAATATATAGATTTTTACCTCTATAAATGCAATGGCCCCATTACATTGCATTTAGAAAGGTCTGATTGTACTACGTTTCTGTAGAGATCTGCAAGTCGAATAGGTGCCTATGCCTAATAAAAAGCACAGGCACAAAATATTAGGCATAGGTATAGACATAAATATAAAAAATTGGTACAGGCATAGCACAGGTACAAAAAATTTGGCATAGCATGGGAACAGATACAAAAATTTGACCATAAACTTTTGTACGAATGCATATAGAATGTCAGGCACTAGTTGGCACTTTAGTGTCTGGTATACTTGTGCCCATGTACGTATTAATTATACCTTTTATTTTGTGCCTGTGTCAATAATGCGCCTGTCATTTTTATGATTGTAAGCATAGGCATAGTGTAGATATTTGGTGCCTGACATAGGTATTTGCAGAACCCTAGTTCCTGGTATGTTTTTGTTAATAAAAATGACATCATTAGTGACAACCAATAGGGTTGAAGTGATCGATAAAACTTCCAGAAAATTTACTTATATTTCCAATTTTCATATCACCAATTGACCTCTCTCGTGACCCGCCGAACCGGATTTTAATTTTTTTAAAAAATTTTTATTAATAATATGCTGGTGATCGATCTATCATTTCATAAAATTGAAATCATTTCACATAGATAAAATTTTAGTTACGTAATATAGTTGTGCTCGAACAAGGAACATAGTATAATCACTAGACTCATATTAATAATCCAGAGTATCAATTTTTTTTTTGACAAATAAATCTAATTAATTTTATTGGTCAAAAAAATTTGATGTACGTGATGTTACGCGAAACTAGGATGTGCGTAATAGCACTGGTTTTTTTCGATTTTTAACAGCTGCCCTACCGTGATTAGTGCGTCGGGGGTACGTCAAGTGTAACCCGGA